GACACAGAATGACAACTAGTTTTTCAACAGGATTGCATATTTACATTCTGTTTGCCCAGAATGAACAAATTTCACCACACCCTTATTTGTGTTGGATACTGTTACGTTTCTTTTCTTTCTTGTTACATAAATTAACTTAATATTATCTAGCAATGTTTCAAATGGTGGTGCTTCCACTGGTCTCTCAATTCCTTCAGTCTTCTGATGGCCGACTTTACTGTGACAGCAGACTTGGAGTTGTAGGTCCAGGTACCACCAGCTACTCTTTTCACGCAGGAACCACAAAGCCAGATTCCCACAGCTCATCTCTTCATCTTGGTTTTGCCACAAAGAAGCAAGTGTACGTGGCATGCTGGCTTACTTCAATGTCTTCACCATTTTTCTGAGGGAGGCACCACAAGTTCTCCAACCTTTTAGTACATTTAGCCACGTCGCCATCAACTAGGTACAAGCCGAGAGAGGCTATTATTATTTTTTCTAAACCTAGGCAATTCTAATTTTACTAGACTCTGTATTTATATTTGCATTATTTTCCCTTTCGCTTTTTAGAGCAGAAAATCCTAATAAGAGAGTGTATAAAAGTTGGTTAACATGAACCTCTGAATCAGCAGATGAGCTAGCTGGGGCCCTGGGGGCTGAAGGGAAGGACAGGTGTGTCCATTCATCCCTGCAGTGTTAGGGGACAGGGGGGCTGGGTCTGTGAGAAGAGACAAGAGCAGCAGGTCCAGCCTCAACCTGGGGTTCAAGTTCAAAACGTACTTCAAATGTAAAACCCTTATTATTTTTTTAATTACGTAGGATCATTTCAGCTGTGTTGTTGCATGAAAGTTAGCCTTCACGTCAATATGTGAGTGTAGACTAGAACTCTTGAGAAGTTTTGGGGTGCCCTATTGTGTTCTTGTATCTACATTTTTCTAAATCGTGATAAGGGCAATTTCTTATTTTGCCCTAGTGCTGCCAGGTACACACAGGTGTAAAAGGGTAGGAAAGCATCCCGGAGACGCTGCTAGGCCCTCTACTCCTACGGGCCCCGCGACCCACTTTACTTCCCCAGATAGAGTCGCGAAGCACCCGAACCATAGAGGTGCAGAGCCCAGAGAGGAAACGCAGGCTCCCAGGCGGCGACTTCCGCTGGTGGTCCACTTCCGGCCCCGCCCCAGCCGGAGCGCGGCCGGCGTCGGGTTACTACCTGCATCTGTCGCCTCTTTCTGGGGCTTCTTGGGAGGCGAGGCAGGTGGACGCGATGCCCGGACGCCCGGCCCGGGGCCGCGGAGTTGGGGGGCGAGGAGGCAGGCCTCACGGAGGGGCGCCATGAAGGCGTGGCTCCGGGGTTCTGTTTCCCTGGAGTGATAACTAACTGAGGCCAGTTGTGGCCCCTAGAAAATAATGGTGACATCCCAATTTAAAAATACATAATTTAGGGCCCACTTTCGTGTATCTGAGGCAACAGCTTGCTCGTTTGAATAATTGTCAAGTAACTATAACAAAAATGAACCTTAGTATTTTATTATGGCAAGATATAAGAGAGTGGAGTTAGGCCACTGAGGGGGAACGATGGCCCTAAAGAAGATTGGGGTGAAAGGGGAACATGCAGAGTGGAGTCTGCAGGGAGGGGAGGTTCCGGGGTGGAAGAGGCCGAAATGCCCTTCCTGTGGGAGAGGAGGGTGAAGGCTTAGTATCAAGTTCTGCCAAGAAGAAATGGCAACTCAGGATTTTAGGTGATTCTCATTATCCTGGCCTGGGTTCGTTGTCTTCCAGGGCAGTCACCAGCACAGGCACAAACTGCCAAAACTTTTAATTCAACTGTCCTCAATTCTAAAGTGACGATAATGCCTGCCATCCTGTCCTACTGTGTGGAATTGTACAGTGGTATATATTCTTTTGTGAAACGGATTTACCTTCTATGACACAATTTATGTGACTGTCAGGGAATATTTCATATAAAGAAGCTTTAACCATAATGTGTTACTGCCCAAAATAAAAGATGGGCAAATACACTGAGGATTTGAACTCTCGTCTCTTAGCACGGGTAATCAAATATTAAATTGTACTGAGGAGCCCTGTAGTAATGGACCTCACTTTATATCTTTATATAGCCTGGTGTTTCTCAAGCTTATGACCACAGAAACTTTAGAGTAACACCCTATTAATATCTCCAACTGGGTTTTTCCCAGAAAAGATTTGGGAAATGTTGACCTAAAGAAATGATTCACCTGGGCACAGACCTGCTCAAAAGCTATTTCAGAGCTACTTTTTTGAAAATTATCTGACTGGACTCCAGTAAGCATATTTTCAGTTTTGCAAATGTTAAAATGGTCTATAATTAATGAAGCATTACAAGCCATATAACATTTAGAAAAAGAAGTGAATCCTCTTTGCCTTTCCTCCTACATATGTGATGGACAGTGGATAACATCTCAGTATCATTGAGCAGATACCAATATATAATTATAATGGGAAGAATTGTTCCAAGTGGAAATTCTACAATTCAGGGTTTCTTAATGACAAATCCAGGGAAGTTTTGTTCATGCACTTCTAGAGTGATCTACTTGAATATGATAATTAATGTTTTCTCCTATAAGTAGAATGTAGCTAAAATCCATTTAAATATGTTGTGTGTATGCATTAGGTGACATTCACTGGGAACTTCCCCTAACATTACAGAATAAAATTTAGAACAAGGAGTGTCTTGAACTTCATTCAAGATTACTTAGTTACTAAAGTAACAAGAGAAACTCTTAATGAGGTACTTCTACATGTTTGGCACAAACCTCTGTCAAGGAACATTTTGAAGTGATTTACTAGTATGTTCATAAGCTTGCAGTGTCAAGCAACATCTGCCAAAGAATGACAGCAACAACACATTGGAGGGCCTTGCTCCCGTGCCTGGTCCTCCAATCTGTAGGGCCAGAAACCTTGCCTCATTAGTTTGCACAGTGGTAAGTAGGTTCCATAAGACACACTAATGCTAATAAAACTCAAAAGGGACCGATGTATAAACCAAGAGTATGAGTTCATCCCGTTCTAGTGAAAAATATATCAGCTGGATCATTTTACTTGCCAATAGTGTGTTCCTTGTTGAAGAAAGATCTACATGGGAGTCCAGATTTATATATATATATGATATATTACATCAGAGGCACAGGGCATGGGATCAGAAGGAGAGTGATATCCAAGCTTAATGGCATCAGGTGCCTTCACTCTATGGATGTACCTATCAGGTGGGCTAGATACTCATTCTCATGGAGGAAAAGCACTCACTCATGGTGTTAGAAGCGAGCTAAGTCATTTTGTCTCTTTGAACATCCCTTTCAGAGGTGCTTCCACAAGCTAGAGCATCATGCAATTGACTTGATTTAAGCTTTTCTGTTTTCAGGCCCTATCCAGCTGTGCCTCCTTGAAGTTGCAACAAGGTCACCAAGTTTGGATTTGGGGTTTCCACAGTCTCTTGGGTCCTTTCTATTGATGACTGATTTCATTCTATATATATTTGGTCTCTTTCTAAATGGAAAAACTTGGGTTCTATTGTTTGAAACCTCAGGAGCTTCCCCAGTAAAATCTGAAACTGGCCCCTGTAGGCAGAAGGCAAAGAAAATGAAGAAGCAGAAAACTCCAGCTTAATAGGCGGTAGGTTTAATAAGTAAGGGATCTTACAGACGAGGCTTGTCGTAGGCAGCTGCAATACCAGGAAATTGCACCCACCCACCAGAATCTTAAAGTTTATAGAGAGGCCTTAATGGGGTTCAGTCACACATACCACCGAGGTCTCAACACCACATTGCTCTCTCCAGGCTGTGTCCTTGAAAATGGCTCCCATTATGGAAACGGTGGGCAGAATATACACCAAAGACAAGGAGCAGGTGAGGAGCCTCTGATTGCCCAGGTCCTGCTCGATGGTGAACTGGTGCTCATGTCCTCTCAATAACCTCCAACACTGATTTACCCCACGAAGAACCAGGACCTGTATTCATGTATTTAATAATCTCCTTTCCTCTGTGACACTGTACTTGAACATCTAATATCTAATAAATAAACTGAATCTGTGACTTAAGAATATTCCCCCCCACACACACACACACAAAAGCCAATCCTAGATGGCTTCACCAGCTAATTCTTGCAAATATTTAAATAACATCACTCTTACACAAACTCTTCAGGGAACAGAAAAACAGAAACTCTTTGTATGTGGCCAACAGAACCTTGATAGAACATTAGACTAGGACATTACAAAAAGGAAAAATTACTGCCTAGTCTTTCACATTGTGGTATAATAAAATCTAAATATTTGGCCTTTGCCCAGGTTCCTGACGCACAGTTCCAAACCCCGTGGAGTCTCAGGAGCGATGAGTGTCCCTCGTATGCTGAGATGACTGGTGGCTGCTCACCAGAAACGGGCATGACTGGAAGGGTGGAACTTTCAGCCTCATCCCCTAACCTGTAGGGAGGGGAGAGGGACTGGAGATTGACGGGGCCAATGATGTAATCATCCATGCCTACAGAGTGAAGCCCTATAAAAACCCCTAAATGAGAGTGTCAGGGTTGGTGAACATGTCACAGTGCCAGGAAGGTGGTCTCCCTGGAGAGGGCGCAGAAGCTCCAAGCACACCCACACCCTGTACCTTGCCCTGGGCGTCTCTTCCATTTGCTTATTACTAAATTCTATCCATTATAATGAATTGGCAATATTTAAGTGAAGTGCTTTCCTGAGTTCTATATATCATTCTGGTGAATTATTGAACCTTGGGGTTAGGGGGTGCTGTGGAAGCCCCTGATTAACAGGCAGTCATCAGAAGTACTGGTGGTGGCATCTGAAGAGGACATGGTCTTGTGGGACTGAGCCCTTAAACCTCTGGAGTCTGATGTCAACTCCAAGTAGTCAGTGTCAGAATTGAATTGAATTGTTGGACACCCAGTTGGTGTCAGAGAATTGGAGGAGGAGGGGACTTTACTTGTGAATATATATAGATGCAAAACCCTAAATAAAATATTAGCAAATAAAATCAGGCATCCAACCAGGGTTTATTCCAGGAATGCGAGGGTGATTCAATATTCCAAAATCAATCAAGATAATTCATCACATTAGTAGAAAAAAAATCGTTAAACCATCTCAGTAGACAAATAAAAATGATGACCTCAAGGAAAGCAGTTTCAAGAAGTGACACTGGATTCATCTTGCCTCCCTCTTGCCCCCTGGGTTCTCTCCCTCCAGTTTGGGTTAATTTGTAGAAAATGGTAGTTTGTTTCAGACCTGGCCTGAGCCATAGGCTATTTCACCTGTTATGTTGCAAGGGCCCTTGATTCTGTAATCACAGGAGCCTCTGGCTCCGCATTTTGACCCATCTCTGGTTCTGCATGTCTTTTCCTGATGCTTCAATTGGAAGAAAAACCAGAAGGAAGCTGGTAAAAAGGTACTATTGAGCAATCAGTTACTGCACCAGGTCTCCGGTAGGTACTAGAAGAACAAATATGAACCAACATCCTGTCAAACTAAGCGACTTCATCAAAGGTTCCACTGCAGATCAATGGCAGGGCTGAGATGTGACTCTAGTCGGTCTGGTTCCAGAATTCATACCCTTAATCATTCTGTCACTAACTCTACCTGTACATAAACCAATCTCTAAGTATCTAAGTATCAAATAGACATAAGATTCATGTGCCAGGAAAGCACAGAGGGAAGAGATTAGTTCTGACAGGGGTAGGCTGGTTCTGGAAGGCTTTTAAAGATCCTTCTTTAAACTGGGACTTAAAAGATGAAGATTTTAACTGACAAAAAGGGAGAGTGTATTAGGAAACACTGAGTTAATGCCGCAGCAGCAAAGGTTTCACACAACAAAGACTGATTAGCGATATAAATTCATGTGGGGCAATATCCAGGACTCCCTCAGTGTCCTGACCCAGGGATCCCAGCTGCTACCACCCATGGCCTCTCATCCCATCACATGCTTTCAGAGTCTCTATGCAGGGGAAGAGACAAAAATACAGAGAATTTCAGTCTCAGTCCAATGCTTTCAGCCTGGAAGCTACAGTTATCCCTTCTACTGGTGGCCCATGGGTTCTAAGAGAGCACTGGACTATTTGGTGAGTATTTATTGCCTCTGCCACAGAGAAAGGGGCATTCCAGACAGGAGCTAACATGCAAAAGTGTAAAAGGATAAAAATGCACAGTATGTGTGGAGAAGAGCAAATAGATCTAGGACCCAAGAGGCCTTGAAAGCCATTTCATATGTGTATTAGTCTGCTTGGGCTGACAACAAAAAAACACAGGCTGAGTGGCTTAAAAGGAAACTTATTTTCTCACAGTCTAAGGGCTAGAAAGTCCAAGATCAAGGTGCAAGCAGAGCTGTGTTCTTCTGAGGCCCCTCTCCTTGGCTTGCAGATGGCTGTACCTCTGGGTAGAGCTCCCGGTGTCCCTCCGTGTGCCCTAAACTCTTCTTATAAAGACACCAGTCAAATTGGATTAGAGCCCATGTTAGCCTTATTTTAATTTATCACTTTTTTAAAGGCTTTATCTCTGTTATATACACTCAATGTTTATGTCCCCCCAAAATTCATGTTGAAGCCTTAATCTGCAGTGTGACTATATTTGGAGATGGGGCCTCTAAGGAAGTAATTAAGGTTAAATGAGGTCTTACAGATCTGATAAAATTGGTGCTTATAAGAAGAGACACCAGAGAGCCTGCTCTCACCTCCTCTTTCTGCACATGCGCAAGAAGGTCATGTGAGGACCCTGCGGGATGGACAGTGGGCACCCCACCCAGAGGGACAGCCATCTGCAAGCCAAGGAGAGAGGCCTCAGAGGAACGCAGCCCTGCTGGTACCTTGATCTTGGACTTTCCAGCTTCCAGAACCGTGAGAAAACAAATTTCTGCTGTTTTAGCAATGCAGCCTATGGCATTTTCTTATGGTGTCCCAAGAAGACCAAGACAGTCTCCAAATACAACATATTCTAGGGTACAGGTAGTTAGGGCTCTGACATATGATGTGAGGGGGACTCGATTCAACCCATAATGAATGGCAACTGGAAGCTCTCAGAGAGGGGCATCCAGCGGGCCTTGTTTTATTGATGGTACCAAAAAGAATGGCAGGCAGAGACGGGAGCCTGGTAAGCTGGTGACAGTGACAATCGGGCAGCAGCAGTGAGGACCAGAAAACGGGGACTAGAGGCAGTGTAGATGGGGACTCTTGTCCTTGGTGACCAGATAGGGTTTGGTGAGGGAAAGAGAACAGGACTCCAAGGTTTCTAGCCTCCCTGCCAAGCAGACAGTGGCATCAGTATCGCAACAGGAGACGCAGAAGGAGCAGCCTGCTTTGGCAGAGAAAGACTTCAGTTTGGGCCATGCCGCTGGAACATGGAAGAAATGTCTAGGAGACCACTGGAAATCCAGCCTCCTGTTCCAGTGAGTGAGGAAGGGTATCCCAGGATGAGGGGGCAGCATAAGCAAGGGATGGAGGCAAGAAACCCCAGGTATGTGCGGACAACTGCAGGCACTGTCAACAGGCCACTTCCGCTGCCTGCTCCGCTCCCCCTGGGGACCTGTCAAATGCAACCAACATCCCAAATCCTGCCAGCCAAGTCAAGAGCCATCCCAACGGATTGCTCCTAGCAGTAGCTACTTTCCTGCAATTCATCATAATTCTCTGTAACCGTGTGTGAGCGCTCAGTTCACAGAGCCCTTTCATATGCATGAATATACCTGTGGTCTTAATGCCACTACTGGTTTTCCCATCTGTCTCTTCTCTATGTCAGCTGTGTGACCCTGGGCCAGTCATTTAACCTCTCTGAACCTCAGTATTTTCATTTATTGAGGGGCAGGGGGTGGGGGAATGTAATATGTGCTCCATATATTTTGGGTGTAGTTATAAGGATTAAATGGAAACACTGAGTGTGAAACATTTACAGAATCTCTAAGGCCCTATAGGAATGGTGACAGCTAAGGTGAGAGTGGTAGACGTAGAAGTTATCATCACAATATACCCTTTCAGACCAGTCAATAAAGCCACATGAGAAAAACTCAGCTAGACGACCCGATCCAAAGAGAGAGATTTAATCAAATGCTTCTTATGGATCCAGTCCTATGATCGCTACAAATAAACAGCATCATCTTTGTCCCCTGGGAGCTGGGCTGGCAAAGCATGGAGATGGATTAATACACAGCACAGGATAAAGTGTGCCCACGTGGGTCATTCAGATCCGAACTACACAAGAGCTCAAAGGGAGCAAAGATGGAGACGGAGGAAGTGGACTTTGAGGGGAGCCCATGATGTGGCCAGGCAGAGAGGAGGGAGGGGTACACTGACCTGCCTGCATTGGAGGGAAAGCAGGAGAGCCCTGAACTGGAAGAATCCTACCTGCCACTCCCTCTCAGACAGCCTGGTCCTAAAGCTGGAAGGCTCCCACCTTCCCAAGGAGGGAAGGAGTGTGAGACAGTGCCCTTGGTCAAGTCTGGGGGCTGAGATTTCCTATCTCAGTCTGGTGCTAACCCAGCATTTGCAGCTGAATCGCCACCTCAAGAAACAACCAGGATCAGAAGCAAGGTCAAGGCCACTCTGGGCACAGCGCCAGCCACTCAGCCAGCCAGGGAGACTGGCGGGGGCCCAGGCGGCGCCCGTGGCTCCTAGTGCAAGACAGACGACATGCTTCATCTGCACAGACACTTTCTTGGCTCACAGAATTGTTCTGGAACAGAAACTCTTCATTTCAGCTCCATTTGGGGCTGCAGTCCTTGGCCTTCAGTAATGTCGGGGCCTGGCAGCATCTCAGGTCACTGGGTGAGCCAAGCGGCCTGCAGCAATAAGAGGAGCAAAGAGATGTCCCCAGCGGGGTGTTGGAGGGGGCAGGAAGGTGGTCCCACTTCTCAGGGACACAGCCAGGGGAACCCAGGCTACCAAGGTCATTCCTGGCAGCAGCCACTGTCCCTTCTTTGACAACACATACACACACCCTCTTATGCTAATTTCTAATGACAGGTCTTAAAACTCCTTTCACTCGTAACTTTTCAGGTTATAAGTAACTTTTACAGAAGATCCTATACTTTACTGGATGAAACGACTATCTTCTTGGTAGAGAGTCAAGGGAGCTAAACAGTGGGTGGAGGATCTCACTGCTTTGCCAATTAGACACTTAACCTTCTCTGATAAAATATCGGCAGGTTCATTCCTTCCCTGTGAGTGAAAAATATATTTATATTAATCTATGAAGAATTTGAAGCTAATCTTTAGAAGAGAGCAAGAAGAACTATTTTTAAAAACACAAAAAAGAGAAGCAGATTTCTTTCCAGCAGGGAGGCCCCACTTTGTACAAAAGGTTTTGCTGAGAGGGGGTGAACATGTGTGTGACCCATATGTTTTTAAGGGGTTGCTATGGTCTGAATGTGTCCCCCCAAAATCCACATGTTGAAACTGTTAAAATAAAAAACAGATCAGCCTTGAAAATTTCCTGAGTTGACAAAAACAGTTTAGTCATACAAATGGTGCTTAATTTGGCAGACTTTAGCTAACATGACCTGGGTCCCTTCTTGCTTATGTCTCTGGAAATCATAAGCAAAACCCAAATGTTTCCCATGATTGATATAAAGTAACCACTGACCAATTCCCTAGCACTGAAGAAAATTCGACTATTGTAACCAATATTGTAATATTGTAACCAATCACTGTTAAAATAAATACTCACTGCCTTCTTACTCTGTAAGCTACTTTATAATAATACATCCCTGAGTTTCATTCCACATTTTGGTCTGAATGCTCCAGTTTGCAAATTGTCTTTTTGGTGTGTGCACAATAAATTTTCACTAATGACTATGTCTGTGATTCACTGGTTTTACTTTTTTCACTCCTGAACTAATCCCCAAGGTGCTGGTCTCAGGACATGGGGCCTCTGCGAGGTGCTTAGGGAGGGTGTCTCGAGAATGGGATTAGCACCCTGACAAAATTGCTGCCTGGCCCCTTCCATCGTGTGAGGGCCCAGCAAGCCATCTGCGACGGGAACGATGGCCCTCCCCAGAACCCACCCATCCTGGCACTCTGATCTCAGACTTCCTGCCTGCTGGACTGTGGGAAATGAATTTCTGTTGTTTATAAGCCCTCCAGTTCTTGGCATTTTGTTACAACAGCCTGAGCGGACTAAGACAGGAATCTTCCCTTTAGGGTACAGAATAATTTTCCTCTGACCTTTTCCCATGTAAATTCGCATAAGTGATTCCCTTAAAACAATTATAATAGATATGAAATGCAAAAAATTCGACTGACTCCTAGAGCATCGGGTTGATGACCTTGGCCATCTCCTTGTCTTCAAGAGAACCCTGCCACCAACAGCAAAAAGTCTCCCTCGATCTTAAGGCTCTCCAGAAAGAGTGCTGTGGCTCCTGGGGCCTTTCTCCAGCCCCCGCCCCCACCTCTGTGTCCTGTGCACATCCCTCCCGAGGTTTCTCATTTCATCAGACACGGTGAAGACCCCCGGACCCTTCCCCACACTGCCACCCCCAGCCCCCTCCCACACACACACACGCACACAGCTGACCAGACCACAGCTTCCCAGCTCTCAGAATCCTGAATTCCCCACAGCGATTTCCTGAGGCCACAAACAAATGCTGTAAGAAAGAGGTCATCAGTGGCCTGCTGACCTCACAGCAGGCCTGGCCTTTCCCTCTCAGATTCCAGCTGACTGAGGTATAACAACAAGCATTTCAAAGAATCCAGACTAAGCATCACTAAACGTATCAGAAAGTATTGGCTTTGTATCCTGTCCCTGGTGCTCACGTGAAGTAGTTCACTCCTCCGTAAGGCCTCTGGGTGTGCAGCGTTCCTATCAAACCGGAGAGGGCTCCCTGTGCTGTGTGAAGATGTAATAGTGACCCGAACTGCTGGGCTCTCCTTCCTAGTAGGGGCACCCATCCCAGCCACAGCGCTGCCATTCACTGTCCAAATGCCCATGTCCCATGTGCCCTCTTAGCTGTGTCTAGCCTCAAAATTCCCTTGTTTTTGTTTAATTCTCAATAACTGCTGAAAACCATTCTCAAGTCATCCAGAACCTCCCTCCAGAAACAGAATTGAATATTGGCCATCATCATCTTGTTCTGACCAACAATGGCACACAGTAGATCCACAGCCAAATGCAAGTCCCTCCCCGTGTGCCAGCCTTCTCCTCGCACGCCACCTGCCTCAAGACCACACTCACATCCTTCAGGACCCAGCTAAACCACCACTGAACCTTCCAGAATCCTTTCATGACAGTCCACCCAGGACAAAGTGAATGTCCCCACACGCAGGCTCTTCCTCTACCCTGCAGGTGTCCGTTGTGACATGCCACTGGGTTGGTGTATGTGGTTGTCACCTCCTACTAGACAAGAAGCCACTTGAGCACAAGCACTGTGTCTCCAATGTCTTTATTATCCCAGCACCAACAATGTCTGGCACATAGTAGGTGCTCCATAAATGTCTGTTACATGGAGGATGTATACACGATACAAACAAATCTAAAGCCACCCAACCTTCATTAAGATCCCTAGTCCTTACTGTCCTTATTCAGGCCCAGCTGTTTCCCAAAGTGGAAAAGGAGAGCATTTCAGAGGGCTTAGCCCTAGAAGGTCAGGGTTGCCAGAACACAGGAGATCATAACACAGAACTGGGAGAGAGCCCCGTGGGTGCCAGTGGCCCCAGCAGGCTGCCTAGCCAGGCCACTCAGTCCACTCTGCGTCATCAGCTAACTGCCCCTAGGCAAAGCTTCTGAACTGTGGACTTCCCACTTCTTTCCACGTCTTAAACAAGGACCTCTCCCTGGTGGGGTGCCAGTCACCAGGCCTTGCAACAGAAACTAGAGGCAGTGGTAGTGTGGCTGGTGGGCCTGTCCACCCAGGGTTGCACCAGGCCTGAGATGGGGGCATAGGAGCCACAGGAGAAAGAAGGGCCCTCTGCCCATCACCATCACCTTCCTACCCAGCCCTATGACAAGCCTGTCCTATCCCAGGCAGCTGAAGCAGTGGGTGCAGGCGGACCCTGAGTGAATTCTCTTTGCTCAGGGAGAAGCAGACATCCCATTCTTCCTCTCACTCATATCAGAGTGATCCTTGGAACTTGAATCTGACCACCTGTTCTATATTCCTCAGTGTCTTCTTTTGGGAAAAACTGGACCACTTTTGAAAGGCACAGGAGATCTTTCTGAGCCATCCTAGCTTTCCTGTCTGGCCTCACACGTGTATAATAAGCTCAGCAATGGCGAACAACCTACCCAAACACAGATGCTGGCACACACCACTCGCTGCCTTGGCACATTCCCATCCCGCGGCGGGGGTCTTCTTTCTGCCCTTTCTCAGCCCAGGAGAAGCCCCCGCAGTCTTAGCTCCAAGGCCCTCTCCTCCCAGGGTGCCTCTCCTTGCTCCTCACCAGGATCGGAAGCTCTCCCACTGCACGCTGTACTGCATGTCCCTACCGCCGCAGGGAGACCAGCTTCACTCTATTGCCTTACCTGTGAAATGGGGATAATAATCCAGCCCACCTCGGTGATGGTGGGAGGGCTGACCTCACGAAGCTGAGGCAGGTGGTTGGGGAAGTGTGCCAGGACGAAGGGAGAGCGATACAGAATGCATTCACACGCAGGTGACCTCCGTGGGTCACTGGAGTTACTGGGAGCCCCTGGGAGAAAGTGCAGACATCCTCAGAACAGTCAGGCCCACGTGGGGAGGACGCTCTTGGTAACTTTCAGCCCAAGCAGTGCTCAGTTTTCAGGATCAACAGGCAGCTTTGAAACCTAAACAGATATTGTTATTACAATACAATACATACCAGTCATTCAAGACCGTAAGTGATGCCCCCACTGCTCGCACGCGCTCCCAGATCCCCGACATCTCCGCGGACATTTCCCAGAGTTGGGGCCCGGCGCCCCCCTGTAGGGCCCAGCTCACCGGACCTCCCTTCCCTTCTGGAGAAATGCCATTCTCGGCCTGTACTGTTGGCCTTGGTGTCGGATTGTCATCTTGAACCCTGCGCGAACTAGAACCAGAACACAAACGGGAGACAGAAGGGGAAGCCCGAGCGGCGGAGCCCGCGCCCCGCACGCTGCCCGGCATCCCCGCGCAGGTGGGGACCCCGGGGCGGGAGGGGCGGCAGCTGCTGCGGCGCCCCTCACTCGGTTCTGCATACGCCCCTGGGAAAGCAGCTGGAACGCGCGCCAGCCAATCAGCGGGCCGCGCCGCGGGCTCATTAGCATGCGCTGCGCTTGCGCCTACTTGCCGCCAGGGGGCGGTGTCGGGGCTCCGCCGGCACCCCGCGGAGCTTCAGGTGGGCCCTGTGCCCAGAACCCTCCACTGGACGGCTCTGGCTCAGAGAGCGAGGCTTGAACCGCAACATAAAAGCCTGGGGTGAAAATAGAATATCACGGGCTTTGGATCCCTGGCTAGCCTGCCAGCAAAACGCTGGATGACCTTTAGCAAGTTGCCTAAACTTTCTGAGGGCCAGTTTCCTCATCTAACAGGAGAAAAGCAAGTGAGTGGATGGGAAGTGATGCCCGTCTGCCCTGTGCTGTGAAGACGCAATGAATAACCGAGTTAACTGGCAGTGGAATGTAGATGGCAGTGAAGCACGCTGCTCACCTGCCAGGTGGGCTAGTTCTGAACCCAGAATTTGCCACTAGCTGTAGGATCTCAAAGGAGTTATAGAACCCTTCTGAGCTCCATTTTCCCCATCTGGTTAGTGAGGATATTGCACCCTCGTTGTGGTTTGTTGGGGTTTTGTTTTGGTTTTGGCTTTAAGATTTATTGAGCTAATGCATGTAAAAGCAGTGGTGAATGTGGAGTAAACCATAGTTTCTCTTATGTCTCTTGGTATCTCTTAAAATTACTATGCCTAGTGACTCTGTATATACATAGTCTGAAATATGTATCATCTCAATAATATGAGAACTCTTAGAGTAAATGGAGGTAAGAATATAGGCTCTGGAATCAGATTATTTGGGACAAAATCTCAACTCTGCTACTTACTAACTAGCTGTGTGACTTTGGGCTAGTTACTTAACCCCTCTGTGCTTTGGTTCCTGTAAAATGGGGATGGTGCAATGACCGCCTAGGTCATAGGGTTGTTAGGGGCAGCTACAGGGGTAAACAAATCAATAGAGACCAATTGTTGTTACTATTACTAATAGTAGTATCATTAAAAAGTGTAATAGCAAGAGCACAAAACTTGGAACGAAAATGGTCTCGGCTGGACAGTCAGTTCCTTCCCCTTGTTCTCAATTTCTTCATCCATAAAAGGAGGGACTAGAACTAGAACTCACCAGCCTCTGACAGGATGAGACCTCCCAGGTCTAATGCTCAGGATTCTCAGGATCAGGGACATACCACTTTTCATGCGTGAAGCTGGGTAGCCAATTGCAGTAGACAAGCTGCTGTCAGAGGGGAGCAGGTAGGTATTTGCCATGGGGTGTGCACAGCCAACTGCTCTTCAGACAATCTGCTTCCCATCCTCTTGGAAGAGCTGAGTTCCTTCCAAGCTACCCAGACATCTTAGCTCTGACTTCAAGTGCTGGAATAACTGTTTCAGAAATCAAGCTATGAAATCTGGTTGACTCAGAGGGAAATGACTTGGCAAAAAGCATGGAATGTAGCTTCCCGCCCCAGGACAGCTACTGCACAGTGTAGGATAGACACAGGAGACACTGCTCATTTCATCCAGGTTTTCAAATTTATTGAAATGGGTTAAGCAAAGTCATTTCAGAACTGTCTTAAATTTGTATGTGTCTGTGATTATTTCCAGTCTCCTATTTTGTTGACTCAGCTTTCTTCTCCCTTTTTTCCTTGATTAGGTTAGATCCTGATTTCTCGATTATAGTGAGAGGTTGGATGTGTGTGTGTGTTTATTTGAGAAGCAGGTTTATTTAGAAGTTAGAACTTTAAGGTCATCTAGTCATTGGCTATTTACATTATTTAACAGATTTGAGAGGGCTCCGTAAACTAGAGAAAAAAACTTAGGTTTATAGAGAGACAACCTGCGTCACTTAGCCCCCATTGTCCTGAGGTCATTCGTGGTGTCCTCCTGTACCCTCAGAATGGCTCTGTTTGAATGATAAATGACACGGTCATCCTGATCACATGCTAAGTTACTCCTCTACAATTATCTAATCAGGCCTCCCCATTTTCTAAATGAGGGGAATGTCCTGGGTAGTGGAGAGGGATTACAACTGGGACCAGAACACCTGGATTCTCATCCCAAATCTGATACTGAAGCAGGTAAAGCACTTCACCTCCCAAAGCCTCAATCCCTGGTCAGTATTGTTTAGCGTTTCCCAAAGTTGACTCTGCAAGGTATCTCTCAAGCATTAATGCACATATTAGTCCCCTGAAGAGCTTGGTAAAACACATTTTCTGATTCAGTAAGTTGCTCTGAAGCTAAGATTCTGCATTTCTAACAGACTCCCAGGTGATGCCCATGCTGACCTCAGTCTCAGTAGCAAAGATCTAAAAAGACTTGTTCCACAGTCTATAAATCAATGACTTTTATTTTTAAGTGAGGAGGGGATTATAGTGAAATGTATTAAGAAATCAATATTCTTAACACATTTAAAAGAGACTGTTTACCACAGGATCTTAAAGCCTTTCATATACTTCCAAAGAGATTGACTTGAACAACTCAGAAGAAAAGATTTTCAGAAAGACAAAGGTTTTTATTTTATAAACAAATGCAACAGAGGCAAGAGGGCACTCAGTCCCTCTCTTGGGTGAGTAGATGAAGTCTTTGCTTACCTGCCCTACATACACCTCACTGCAAGGAAACAGTTTCACCCACAGCTCCTGCCATATCCTCCTGGCTCATATTTTGGACCATTTGACTTGACCCATAGCTAACCGACCAGGGACAGTGGATACCTGACCCAGACCACCAGTCCATAGACTGGCCAGCAGCCTGTAACACGGCCAGGTAGAACATGATACGCTGGGTCTGCCAGATAATCACTCTTGGAAGTCGCCACTTGGGCTGGCTAGTAGAGGTAGTCCAATCTGAAAAGAAGCCCCAACGTGGAATCAGGCACGTGATGAAGTAAGCTAATCAGGGAGACAAGCCTGGAGTGGAAGCCTGGGGTGGAATGGGAACAGAGGAGCGGCGCAGAGCCTTGCAGACAGCGCTTAGAAATGCAAGTGAAGGCAAGGCCACTGGGGGCTACTGCTGGGTGGCAAAGAGCCAATTACCATCCTTAGTTCTTCGTGGAGGTAAAGAGCTACAGATTAGGAGAATGATGGAAACATAGTATAATTGTGTTTCAGGGCAGCATTTGCGGAGCAGAGGGAAATAAGTCAACTTTGCCGCCTCCCTTCCAGGAAGCCCAAAACAAACCCGCAGTCAATTTGTGACAATAGTAAGACTTGATTGCCATCACATCTTCATTCTGTCCAACCTCACCCTATACCCTCACCTCACACCCTGCCCCTGTCTTGACTCCGTATTTAATTTTTCCTTATCCTGATTTTTAATTTATTGTTTTCCATTTTATATGACGCATCTCCTGTGTGCCTCATTGGCTCAATTGTGAAGAGACATGGTATAAACAAATACCTAGATCAGATGAGAACTAACTTAAGTGGATCCATGTCTGCATGATCGTATCACCAATTCCTCCTTGACCATCAGTGTGGGCATAGAGACAAGTGTCTAGTGCATGTCCCAGGAATCACCCAACACTGCACACTGTTAAAAATCATGATTTGGATGACAACATTGATGACACAGTGCTTACATTTTCAAACAAAGATGCAAAAGAAGAGAATGGCTAATGCATTCGAAAATAGCATTTGTATCCCAAGGTTCGTGCCAGTTTGAGCTTCATCCACTGTGCTTTCAAGAACTGATCAAAGCCCGCACTGAATCAGCATCTCGGGGCTAAACGTTATTGTTACAGTTGCTAACTATTATCAAAAGTCATTATAGCAGTAGTGAATTTCTTTTAGAGAAAGTTCCGATTTGATCCAAAAACTGTTGTCAGGATATCCCTCTACAATGTACCATAGGAGAAATTTCTTTCAAAATTTAGTGCCAACAAAAATTTAGTCTTCCCTAAAAAAAAAAAGAAATTCACAGTCTTTCCTTTTTCCTGATCAAGAGAGCTATGATTCTTGCTTCCTTTTTCATCTTAACCAATAGAACACTTCAAATCTGGCATTAGGTTCCCCTGGAGAAACAGGAACGAACATTTGATTTCTAATTTTTCCCTCCACTCTGTTTTTTTATCTGAGTTCATATACTGTCGGTTTTATTGTCTGGGATTTTTCTGGGCCAAACAACTCCTTTCTTGGAAAGACTTGGGATATAAAATAAATTATATTTGAATGACAAATGGGAGATGGCTGGATGAATTAGACAAGGTGGGGGTGAAAGGCAAATGAGCAAACTCAACAGTCTTCAAGATAAGTAACTGTTTATTGAAATGATTTTTTGAACCTAAATTGTTTTAGTCCAAGGTACCTGCTAGAGGGAGAACAGCTGCGGTGAAAACATACATGGGTTTGATAAACATATAGTTTTCCTTATAAGACAATTGATTAGAGAACGTTTTTCCATCTAAATTGATCGACTCAGCTTGGAAGTAAAAGGATGTCTCTTTTCTCTGCAAGCCCAGATCTCCTCTCTGCTCCCTCCACCTCCATCATTTCCAGGTGAGGTGGGTGAGAGAGGGAAGGATGGGTGGGTCCTGGGGCTTGGGGATTTCATGTGGAATGATCTGACCTAAGTGGGACCTCCTGGTCACCCCCAGTGCCCCACTGTATAATAAGGATTGTTTCCCCTCCACCCTCCCATTGTAAGGAGTAGAGTTCCTCCAGTGAATCCAGGGCAGAAATTTTCCAGAAACAGTTGCCAGGAATTATCAAAGGCAGATATGACACTACTGTCCCATCCTCTACCCTGCTCCCCATGGAACACGGCGATACACCTCCCACAACCGAGTCAGGTAGGTTCTGCTTAACAGTATTGACATCTTTGCTTTTAATATATGGGCTCATTGCTGAAAATTTAGAAACAGAAAAGCAAATTTTTAAACAATTTAATAACATCCAATCTGGGAAGAGAAGTTGGAACAACTTGAAATGAAATACATGGGGGAAGGGCCATACTAGAAGGCAGCAGACTTGGATTCTGGTCCCAACTCCGCTGTGACTGGCTGGGCTAGTCTTGGCAGGTGAC